AGGAGATCATGCACAAATTTTTTCTGATGCAGCAACACCCCACCCTCAGAATACAACACTTAAATACCCAGAAAATAGTTAAGACGACCTAAATCCTTAATCTTAAATTGATCATGGAGGAAGTTTTTCATAGCATCAATCTCACACAGATCTGTCCCAGTGATGATGATATCATCAATATATACCACTAAGAGTACTAAGGCATCACCAGAACCCTTAGTAAAAAGTGAATAATCATTGAAAGAATGCACATAACCTCTACAGGACAAAGATTGAGACAATTTGACATACCATTGCTTTGAAGCTTGTCTCAAACCATACAAAGATTTATTCAGTTTATAGACCAAAGAAGTGGAAGTAGAAGCAGAAGATTCAGTAGATACTGAAAGACCAGGTGGGAGTTTCATAAAAACTTCTTCATCTAAGTCCCCATGCAAGAAAGCATTATTAACATCTAGTTGGAAAAGTGGCCAATTTCTTTTAACAGCTACAACAATTAAAGTTTTAACAGTAGACATTTTAACTGCATGTGAAAAGGTTTCATGGAAATCTATGCCTTCAACTTGTGTATTACCCCTAACCACAAGCCTAGCTTTATATCTTTCTATACTCTCATCAGCTTTGTACTTAATTTTGTATACCCATTTGTAGCCAATTGATTTCTTGCCTTTGGGTAACTCAACTATGTCCCAAGTACCATTAGTCTCCAATGCCTCAAACTCTTTTTTCATAGTATTTTGCCACTCAGGGATAACTGCTACCTGAGAATAAGTAGTAGGCTCAAATGCATGATGCTCACCAAAAGTAGACATACCAGTTAAATTAGCAGACCTGGAGCTAGGATTAGGGAGAGTGCAAACATAATTCTGCAAATAAGAAGGGGGATTGTGAGTCCTAGATGATCTCCTTAACGGAGGAAAATCAGATTCAGAGAGAGAAAAAGGGAGATTAGAGGAAGTAGGAGAGTTGGGACTAGAAAAAATAGGGAGATTAGAGCTGTTGTTCAGAGGTATTGCAGAATCAGATGGAGCAGGATTAGAGGGATGAAGAAAAGCAGGGGATGTTGCTGATGGAACAGGGTAAAATAAATCATGGGAGAGTGAAAAATGTTGTTTAACAGTGTGATCAAAGACGGTAGAAAATGACAAATTTGACATGGTAGGGGGAAAAGATCCAAATTTAACAAAAGGAAAGACATGTTCATGAAATATAACATCTATGGAGATAAGACAGACTTTATTCTGTAAATCATATAGCTTATAGCCTTTCTTTCTAAAGGGATAACCAATAAACACACAGGGAATGACCCTAGGCTGCAGTTTGTCCCTGTTAGGTTTTGGAACAGTTGAGTAACATAAGCAGCCAAAAGCTCTAAGATTTGAGTATGTAGGGAGTTTGTTATATAAGATCTCATAGGGACTCTTGTCCTTTAACACACTAGAAGGAAACCTATTTATCAAGTAGGTGGCTGTGGGTATGCAGTCTCCCCAAAATCTAAGAGGAAGACTAGACTGGAAAAGAAGAGCTCTAGTAGTTTCTAAAAGATGTTTGTGTTTCCTTTCCACAACTCCATTTGTTGTGGAGTGTGAGAACATGTTGTCTGATGCAATATCCCTTTCTCAGAGAAAACTTTTGATCCAAGAGTGTTGGATCCCAACTTTAAGGCATTATCACTTCTTACATGTTGAACTTTCAATTGGAATTGAGTTTCAGTCATGGCAATGAAGGCTTTTAAGAGGTTAAAATCATTGCTTTTGGCTCCCATTAGGTGGGTCCAAGTGGCTCTTGAAAAATCATCAACAATGGTCATAAAATATTTGGAGCCAGTATAGGTAGGAGAGTGATATGGACCCCAGGTGTCAATGTGGATCAACTGAAAAGGCCTTGTGGATTGTATATTACTATCAGAAAATGGTAATCTTGTTTGTCTGGCTAGTGGACATATTGGGCAAGAAAAAAGACTGTTTGGAAGATAACTGTGAACCAAGCATAGAGATATGTTTCATTCTAGAGAAAGGAATATGCCCAAGCCTATAATGCCAAACCACATCTATTTTATTGATATCATTCAGAATTGCATCAGTATTTACATGTGTTTCATTAGCATCAGCAACATTGACATTCTTTACATTTGCTTGTATCTCAGGGAAAACACAAACAGGGGAAATAACAGGGGAAGTAATACTAGAAGAGTAACTGGATGTAGTACTGGGAGAAACAACAGGAGGAAGTAGGAGCTTATAGAGATTGTGGTCCAGTTTATCAAAAACCAGAGGCATCTTCAGAGAAGGGGCCTGTATAGCACAAAGAGTTCTGGTAAATAGAACAATCCCATTGTATTGTTCTAACAACTTATGAACTGAAATAAGATTGTATTGAAAAGAAGGAACATAAAGAACATGATGAATTGTGAAATTTGGAAACAAAGTCAAAGATCCTACTAAATGAACTTTGACTTTGTAACCATTTGGTAGAGAAACTATACAAGGTATAGGTAGTGTTTTCAGATTAAAAAGTAAATCCTTATGAGAAGTTATGTGGTCAGAAGCTCTAGAGACTATTATCCAAACAAAACTATCTACTTGTGAAAGCATGCATGACTTGAGCAGAATACTTTTGATAACAGCTTACCAGCAAAGTTAGCAGAAGCCATCAGAGTGGGAGTAGAGGAGGAGTCAGCAGATACATGAGACTGTTGTAGTAACATCATCAGCTGGGAGAACTGATCTTGTGTTAAACCAGGAACCATTGAAGCATTACTAGATTGAGATGACTTGACAGAATCAGGAACCACACTAGAATCCACATTAGTAGGAGGGCAAGGAGAGTTCACTTCAACATGAGCTGCAGTTTTCCTACTGCCAGGCCCTTTTGTGAACTTAAAATTTGAAGGATACCCATGTAGCTTGTAGCACCTGTCAATGGTGTGACATGGTTTCTTACAGTATTTGTATGTTAGGGCTCTTTGAGTATCAAAATTGACTCTGGAAGGAAAACCTTGCTTAGACACCCCAGCATTGAAAGAGGCAGATGTAGAGAGAAACTGAGGAGAGGTACACACATGCCTCTGCTTCTCATCTGACACAACAATATACTCTAGACAATGCTTACAGATGGAAAAGGCTTAATCATGAATGTATTGCTTCTAGTTTGCACATATATATCATTGAGACCCATCAAAAATTGATACACCTTTTGAACATCATCATCTTTCTGATAATCAGATTTGAAACCATAATTGCTACAGGACCCGACTGTACTGATTGACAAGGCATCAATTTCATCCCACAATCGCTTGATTTTGTTGAAATATGAAGCAATATCAAGTGATCCTTGTGAGATGTGAGCAAGTTTTTTCTTAGCAATATCTGTTTGACCATATCTTTCCTCCAACTCACTCCAAATATCTTTGGCAAGTTCAGAGTACTCAACACTACGAGCAATGTCTTTGGACAGGGAGTTGGTTAACCAAGAGACGACCAAATCATTACACCTCTGTCACTGTCTCGCCAAAGGAGAACTGTCATGAGGCTTAACTGAATATCCATTAATGAAATCCAGTTTATTTCTAACAGACAAGGCCACAAGGATGGTTCGTCTCCAACTCCCATACCCAGTACCATCAAAAGAAACAGAAACTAAGTAAGACCCTAAAACATCAGACGGATGCACATAAAAAGGATGACATGGATGCGTATAATCATCCTCATGAAAAACAGAACGAGAAGTAGTAAAACGAGTTGTTGGTAATGCAGATGTGGAATCATCATTCGGCATTTTGTACACAATTAATCAGGAAAATATACGCACACAAACAAACAATGAGGAGAAATAACTAGGGTTACCAAATTTCCTTTGCGGCCGGAAGGAACAACGACCTTGTAAAACAAATCAGTGGCAAGGACGAGCAAACCCTAGCTGAATGAGCAGTTTCAGAAATCACCAAACCCTAGGTTGAGAAGTACGCCTCAGATAATATCAAAATAAGTTCGATCAATCAACATCCGTCGTCAACACCGGAAAAACTCAAAATAGTGATGAAAAAACTCGTCGCAAAAAAAAAAAAAAACTCAGAATCGCGAAGAAGCAGCAGAACCTCAAAACTCCGATGAAGATGTGTGAGAGTAACATCGGACGAGAGGTAATTACCCAATCTATCCAGATCTGGGCTCTGATACCATGTTAAAACTTAATTGACGAGCAAAATCACTGAAGTTTATTTGAGTTCATAGTGACTTTTCAGAGAGAGAGACGGAAGTCTCTAGGTCTTTTCTATTTTGCTCAAAAGTCCCAAAATAAAACTGTTGCCCTACCAGATATTTTGTTCCTCATATCTACAAGTGGGTCAGTCCACCAATTACTCTATAGATTAAAATAAATACAATGTGGACTTCTGGGCCCAATAGCAAAAGAAAAAAATTAGCCCAATTTGTTAAGTGATATCATTTGCTTGTATCTCAACATTTTCCTACAGTCACACCTCTCCCATATGTAGTACTCCTAACACATTACAATAAACAAATATTTTTAACTAAATTTTTATGTTATATTTTACCTTTCTGTAGTAGCTTATTAGTTCAGTTATTATAACAACAATATCAATTATTATTACACTACACTTTTTTATAAACTTAAGTCTTTTATAGGAACCTATTCAAATATTTATATATTTATTGCTTCATAATAATCAAAATCAATCTATTTAAGGAGGAATTAACAGTGGAATATTCGAGTCCTCGAACTATGCCCAGGAATTTAAAACGTCAAAAATTCTAATAAAACTTGGAACAAGAGAAATTAATATTTTATTGGATTTATTTTAAATTTTAATTAATTAATTAATAAAATGTGAATGTCTTTTGTGATTTTAAATTTATACTATTTTCATTTTTTATGACATAAAAATTTGAGTAATCAGTTCTCCAATACTTTTTGTCTACAATAATAAAAATAAAATATACTCCATATGTCAAATGTTGTTAGAAGTATATACTAACAGCCAATCACTAAACAAACAAAAGAAGTTCGAAAAAAACGCTTTGCACCGGGTCCAACACCCCCTCCATTTCTCGCCATTTTTCAGATTGAAAGAATTATGGCATAGGGCGGAGCTTAAAGAACAGAACTCGCACGGCCAACAGCCGCTGCAGTAGTACAATTGATGCCGGTAAGTTGGAAGTTTCTTTGATTTTAAACGTGTTTCCATTGATGTTATCGGAAATAAAAATTGAGTTCATTGAATTTATTAGGGTTGTGCTTTTTAGGTTTTTATTAATTGGGCAATGTGAAATTATGTTGTTATTTGATCTAAATGGGCTGCTGCTAGTTTTCTCTTTGTAGGTGACAACCTTATTTCCTGTATTCACAATTTGTCAATTGAGAAGTGTCAATTGAGAAGAGCTCACAATTTGGGTGATTGAGCCATGTAATGAAGATGAACACTAAATTATCCCAACAGAAAAATCAGAATGTACTATCTAAATTATCCAGAGGAAAGAAATTAGCAGACCTCAGTTGTGACACTGCAGCCTCTTTCTAAAGCAGGCAAAGTTCTTTGGATAGTATGCTTAGCTAAAATTTCCTTCGCAATATGCATTTACTTGGTATAATTAGTAGTGTTGGACTGCCATTTGAAGAATGGAGTGTGCATAGATGATAGGAACAAAAGGGAGAGCGAGTAAAATAGGTTCCACATAATATGAAGCATTGTATTGTATCAAACTACCTATACCTGTTTGATCTGATCTTTTTGACAAGAATGTAATAGAAGATGTCGTAGAAGACATCCACTTGGACGCCATCCAGTAATATTGATCTAGTTCAGCTGTGGATCTAGAATTTTGAGTTTGAAATGCAGGTCCTGGAATATATATCTAACCTTATTTATACTCAATTTTCACACATATATCAATCTTTGACAGGAAGCCGAGGTTTTACAGAAACCTGAGAGTCGATCTGCTACTTGCCTAATTATCTCACAACTAGCGAGCTAGTCATACAGCTTGCTAAGCACAAAGTGTAACTTACTTGCTTAGCAGATGACTGATGAGTGCCATTTTAGTCTTTAAAAGGCTCTGAGTTAAGATGGCTGGCCACATTCAAGCATAGCTAAATCAAGATGCGATAAGACTGTGAAAACTATTTAACAAAGTGCTTTTGATTTCTCAAGACATCTCTTTTCACTTGACTCGAGGAACAAAATACTCTTAAATTGTTCCAGCTTCACTCAATTGAGGCAATCAAATAGGTACCATGCATGGCTCAAAACAGAAGCCTGAATATCTTTGAAAGCTGTTTCTCAATCAAGACATTCCATCAAATGTTGTGCTTCTGCATCTAACCCCACTTTTCCCCGGTGCAAACTGAAATTTACAAAGAAAAGGAAAACACACACTAACCATCAGCTACATCATTTGACACCTGCAGTTCCTTGACTAGAAGTTCATGTGTGAAAAAAAAGAAGCAATCCTACTCAGGAATAAGTGTTTGTAGCCAGAATCAAATTGAAAAATCCTCTGAGCATGGTTTTTAATCTCATAACCAACACCCCACCACTCCTGTAAATTGTAATGTAACTACTCCTGGAGCATCCTCTTTTCCAATTACATAAGCACCAAATGTCTGCATTATATGATCACCCAAATGATTAAAAACAATTTTCTTTACTTCATATCTGATTGGAAAAAAAAAAGAGATACATACAGTGTCTTCTCTCTGAATCTAGACTTTCTTGAATGGAGAAGTAGAGTCACCCATAGTCCTAGCTTGAAGGCCAGAAACCGACAAACATGGAGGCGATAGTGTTCTAGTATGTGCAGGCTTTAAGTTGACTAGGTTTCCACTATCTTGAGAATTTTATATTTTCTTGGTGTGATCCTTATTAGTAGTCGTAGTTACACTGAAACGACGTCGTTCTTGTTTGTTCTTTTTCATAAATAGTTTATTTCCTTGGTCTCCTCTTGGGACAAGTGACACTTTTGTTTTTATAATGACTAAAGATGATTCTCGAATTTATACTTATCAATTGTAGGTCTATTTCAGTGGGTTTCTAACTCAACCCGACTGGACACAACTTGGGAGTCCATAGCAGGCACTTCCAATTTGAATGCGAAAATGTCAAAATCTCCATCTGTTATCACTCCCGTCAAATTGATAGCATTGTCCTTCTTGGTATTTCTATTCTTCATACTTCAAATTTCTTCTCCAGTATCTGCTATCAGGAAGGATGTAAGTCTTCAAGATAGATATACCTGTAGAACTACAGTTCAAGGAAGATTTTTGATTGCAGATGATATGGGTCAAGTCTGTGATGCGCTGTCCATTGATTCACATTCTCGCTGCTGCCGTGGAAAAAGAGAGCAATTTGCTTGTCACGGTTGCAATCTTGTTTCACAGTGTTGCAACTCCTATGAATTTTGTGTTTCTTGCTGTCTGAATCCATCTAGGACACAAAAGGACCTGGCTCTAAATGTCAAGATAGCTAAGCCTGTAACAGCAGGGACCTATTCAAGCCTTTTTGATTTTTGCATGGGAAGATGCCGTCACAATTCAGAGAGTGTGGTTCATGAAAACGCTTATCTCAGTGAATTTCATCATTGTTTCTCTATACCATCTAATTCTTCTGGTTCTTCTGGTGCACAAGCTGAAGCAAGACTAGCTGGTATAAATATTGTGATAGGAAGACAAGGTGAATCATGCAATTCAGTGTGCAAATCAAGTGGTCAATCTTGTGTTCCCAACAAATTCTTATTGCTCAACCAGTGCGAGACGATGCAAAAGTACATGGGCTGCAAAGGTGGATGTCTGGCAAGTGTCGGATCAGATCAGCCTGCTGAAGTAGTTGATGANGGCCTTTTTTCTTTATAATTTTGAAATTTCTTAATATAATATTTGAGGCACACATTAAAATTTTGGATTCAAATTGGATACTAATTCAAATTTACGTTGTAATCTACTAAAGTTTTTTCATTATAAGTAAGATCTTTATAATTATTTCAATATGTACTTGGTTTGAGTAACAATAGCGTCGGTGTTGGTTTGCAGGGAGGAGGAGGCAGCCAGGCAATTCCACACAATTCAACAATATTGGGGTTGTGACTGGTACATTTGCTTGATATTTAGAGAAAAATCACACTAGAGGTTAGCAAGAATGGCTCTTTTACAATGATCACATAGTTATGAATTTGATATACTCGATGTGACTATCTAAATCATTATTTTCTTATTCTTTTTTCATTACGTTGGATATTAGGAAAGGATGGAAATATCTGACTAGCATGCAATGAGTTGGAATTGCTTAAACTAGTTAGACTGAAATCATAAAACTATCTCATGATATAGCTTTAACCTATTATAAGAAAAGAAGCTATTTTATATCAGGTTACAAATACATTTGTAGCAAGACCCCACTGAGTAGGTAGGTCTAGCTGATGTAAATCCCCTCCATAAAAAAAGATATTCTTGTGCTATTTTTTGCCTCCATTTTTAACGTATTGAGGCTTGTTCTGCTTTCCAATTCTAATTTATTTTTTCATGTTTATTGTTTATCCGTGTTTCAATATAAATTGACATCTCCGAAATTTTTACTCAATCTTAAATCAAGGAATAGTAGTATGCACTAAGAATCTGGTAACTATTCCATTGGCTGGAAAATATGAATAGATGGCTTGGATGAATTGGTTAACCATTAATTGGACCGAGAGTGCGAAGAATTTGATTTGCTATTAGTTTGAATATATGAAGCGGCATATCTAAATTTCTTCCCTCTTCTTCTCTTTACTCGGATTGAAATGCTAAGTTGCTCGGACACGGGTGCAGGTGTCCGACACGGGTGCGGATTTAAAGGTCGGATCCTTCGAGATGTAAATTCTAAGATCCGGGGATACGGATCCTAGTAAAGATACGAGTGCGGGGATCCGACTAAAAATAATTCAAAAAAATAAAAATATAAAAAATATCTCTAATTTATGAGAAATTTTGTGGACACTTATGTATAGCTTGTAAAGTGTGGATTTCTTTTTTATTCTCAAGTTGTAGATAAGTAAAGGATTGATATCCTAGAGAAGGTATGCTATTTTCTTCAAATTTACCCTAGTTTTGGTTTTGATTTCGGGAATTAAATTGTATATCGTCTCAAATTTTTTCGTCCGTCGTGGTCAAAGTACGCAAAATTGTTTGACCAGATCCGTTACGGATCCCATACCTAAACCCATACTAGTGTCAGGTGCGGCACCTAAATTGCCATGTCGGAGCAACTTAGTTGAAATGATATGATGTGTTGCTAGGATTGAATGATTGGTAGTTATAATATTTTTGTGATGGTGATGTGCCATATGATATGTGAAAATAGGTGTTTAAGGTGGTTTATATCGCTGTATATCATCATGCATACTTGTGTGTGCATCATATTATTGCGATATACAATAATATACACGATATGCATTTTGATATACACTAGTAGAAAATGCGCCTGGCAGAAAATCTGTGCGAGATATAGAGTGATACACACGATATACAATTATATATATTATCAATAATGGAAATTTTAGGCGACCTGTCATTTTTTTCCGGTGATAGAGTACGTTGAAAATTTTATGAGAATTTTGGAGGTTATTAAGGGGTTGTTGGAGAGAGTATCTGAGATAGAGTTGAGAAACAGACAAAATTATAGGGGCTATTTTCACATGTTAGCTAGTTTTAAGAGATCCCACGCTCTCAAAATATGGTTCCACACACACTATTTTCCACGTCACGACGCATGTGTTTTAAGAGATACATATATGTCAAGTAAAATATCTATTTGTAACACTACGAGAAGACGGTAAAATTCCCTCTAGCAAATCGTTCGAAAACAGATTTTTGACAGAAATTATCAGTCAAAATATACATGGTCTACAAATTTTCAACTAGAACTATAGAAAATTTCCGATCAAAACGTACGGTCGAAATATGTGGAAAAAAAAGAATGACCATATTTTTAAAATTTTCGACGGAAATAGTCTTACATTTTTTGATCGAAATAGTCGAACAATTAAAATAAAATATATAAATGAATATTTCGACCGATTCTGTCGGATTATTTTAAAATAAATAAATGAAAATAAAATATACCGACTAATTTTGGTGGATAATTTAAAAAATAAATAACTGAAAATTCATGTTTTCTCGATCGAATCGGGCGCAAGAATTAACAAAAACTAGAAGTTCATCTATTCTGACAGATTCGATTGGAAATTTAGGAATTTTCAGGTTTGTTATTCGACTGCTTCTGTCAAAAATTTATGCAGATTTCAGCAGAATTCTGCAGTATTTTCAATTTCACTGCCTGCCAAATAAAACAGCCAACCCAAAGTCCTAATTCACAATGAACTCAAGTGACATTAAACATCTAAAGCAACACTAAGCATTGTAAATACTTCAAACAAGTGTAAACACTCTACCACATTTAGTCTAAAAGTTTTAATCAAATCACATAAAGTCTAAATAGTTAAATAATATCACGTTCATTATTGAATCTAAAAATAAACTGAGTCTAAAATTTCATTTACCGCAGCCAAATTAAAACATAACACCACAATTCAAATATTTCTCCTCGTCGTCTGATTCAGTCTCATCCTCATTATTAGATTCCTCTATTGAAGGTTGATTGCCATGTTTTTTCATGAATGTTCGCATCATAGTTATTGTTTTCTGACATGTGCTCTATTATTGCGTCAAATTATTAATTTGATTCCTCATAGCCTCCATTTCTTCTTGTGAAATAGAAGCACCATCGAATAATGTAGCTGCGCACGATTAGAGGATAGTTGTACTTCAAGTCCGTAGACTCCACCTTTATTTATTTTTATGGGAACAAAGAAAAAGAAAGTAAAATGAGTCAAAGAGGAAACGCACAACTTGCAAACTAATACTAAAACGAACATTTCTTTATAACTTTGTACCTTTTTTTATTCTACTTGTTATTTGTGTCCATATTGAAGTCACATCTTGTGGTAACGGTTGGGTTGAATCAAGTTTAGTTTGTTGATATTCCTTCAAACTTCTTTGATACCTTTCCTGATATAAAAATGATAATCATTATATAAACAAACTAATCTTAAGGAAGAAATGAAATAATGTTGAAGTTATGATCTTATATATGTCTCTGGCGCACACAATTCGATTCATCATTCTCATAAACCGTTATTTTTCTTTTTCTTATGTGTCTTTGCAAAGACCTGAGCATGAGTCACATCCTTTCAATGTATCTTTTATGCAAAATTAAAAAATAAAAGTTAGAGATATATATTTGATCGCATATATATAAAACAAAAAACAAATTATAGATATATTATCAATCTCAATCGATAGGCCGCAAAACTAATTGAACCTCTGGTGTGCAATGAGCCACCCTTACTAGAGACTCTATTTTTCTTTACTTGTTCACTCCTCTTCTTCGTTGGTCTAGGGGGTATTCCATTTCTCCAAAAGTCTATCTCATACATCTTGATGTTATTAATTTTAGCCTGTTGCCACCTCTCTCAGCAACAAAATGACCATTTTTAATCTGATTATGAGCTGTATTCTATCATGTCAACACACCTAGATAAATTTGACGCATATGCATCTGGCATCTTTAAATTTCTAACTCAATCACAAATCTCTTTTTTTTCTCGTCCAAAGTGAATCTGTATCTGGCCTCGGGATTCTAAATGTTGTTCAAGTATGTCAGGTACAACGCACTTTGCCTACAAAATTCTTTCAAGTTCATCTTGGCCTTCAAGTTATCTTTTGTCCTTTTGTTGATATCCATAAAGTATTACACAATTTATCAAAAAGGTTCTTCTCAGTATGCATCCGACGAGATTATGCCGTAGGAGATTATACTTCCCATAAAGTAACACCCAGAATATGTTCTATTTAGTCCAGTTATATGTGACTATCTAACCGAGTATCTTATTAGACAATGAAGACTTTGTTATCTTAGGTATATCCCTAATGGCGGGTCTTGAAAATGACATTTTGGGCAAAGAAGAAAATGAATAGTGATGAATTGATATAAATGAATATGTCTTGAGTTTCTAATGATTCCTATAGACTTGATAACTTAATTGATGAAGGAATTGAATCGAGAATCACTATTTGGATAAGATACAAATACTAGTTCTTGAAATGGGTGTTCTTGAACCTAGGGTTTTGTTGGAGAAGACAATGAATAGTGACTTGATGATGTTGGGTAATTAACGTAGTATCATTAATGACTCCAAATAAGTATTAAATAATAAAAATAGAATAAAATAGGCTAATGGGTGAACTTATTGGATAATTTGGGATAGTTAAAGGCTTGTTGCCGAATTGTGAAGCCTAAATGGATATTTATGATTTTTTTCATATTTGTTTTGATGTTGTTGGGATATCTAATGGTAGATATTGAATTGTGAACGATATTTGGGCATTTTAATCAATTAGAGCATTGTAGTATGTTTGGATCTTGAAGGTTGAGGTAAGTTGATAATGACTTACTCTTCTTGAGGGATTCTCCGTAAAAGCATGATTTGTTAATACATGACATAACTTATAAATGTGCATCCGTACATATAGGGACAAGCGGGAGGATGTCACCATGTATTTCTAAGTTTGTTGATTTTGAAGTGTCATGTGATTTTATATAAAAATCTTATTTTTAAAACTTATTTGCAAGTTGACACTTAAAGAAAACGTTATAAGTTTTATTAAAACTTATGTGTTGATAAGAATATAAATTATTTGAGTACTAAAGATATATTTTCATGAAAAAGTATGTGTTTTGAAATTTGATCAATGGAATAACACTTGTTGTATCTTTTAAAGATTGATGTTAAAGTGATAAAGGCATTAAAATGAAAAAGGTTATTCATTTGATTTTGTTCAAATGGTTTGGATTGGCTATGAAAATCGTGATTTGATAAAAATATATCCTTTGAGGCTATTAGGCTATGAATCTATTTTTGATAATATTTTGGGAGTTACTAGTGAAGACCACCGAGCTTGATTCGAACATTGAGTTTGTTACCATGGAACTATACATGCCGGTGTAGGGACGTATTCCAAAGTTAAGCCGTGGTTTGTGAGATAAAGTCCCCCATTGGGAGGGCAAATGATCATTACTTAAAGTAATGAGGTTAAGTCGACTCGTACGACACTACGGGAAGCCGCCCAGACAAGTAGGATCAAATACTTGTTGCTAGGTCGATCACCTAGTAGTTATTTATTATGTCGGTGTCGGTCTAGTACTCTCAGTGAAATAAAGAAGACTTTCTTATGTTTAGGCCTAAGAAGCCGAAAGTGATTTCGATAACTTAATGAAATTGAAATGATTTTGTATGATTTTATTAAAAATCTTGGATTGATACAAATGTTCTAAGAATTTATATCATGGTTTATACTTCACTTGTCTTTTCATTTGAAATGATAAAGAGCATAATTTATATAATTATTTATCACCTTATATCAAATATTGGTTGCATAGTTTTTGTAAAATCATATCCCAGAAACTTGAGTTAGAGAGAGTCTATGACACTTATTGAGTATCGATGTGGTGTACTCAGCCCTTAGGACCCCCCTCCAGGGCGCCACTTACTTTACATATTTCAGAATGAGGTATAATACGTGGCATGCGGACATGACTAGGATGACTCTCTTCCTGAGATATATGGTGAGGCACCACTCCTATTTTGTGGTAGCTATCATGTTATTTTTTAATTTATGTTAGTCGGGCATTAGCCCAAGTGTTTAGTTATATTCTTTGGTATAGAGGCTCCTAAGATAGTTGTGAAAAGTTATAGTACTGGGGTTATACGTGACATACATGAAAATATATTTATTTTACTTAGTCTCATTGTTATTATTATGAAAGACTTCATGTATGATTCTGAATTGAAAAACTTTCTATTGTTTAACTTGAATATATATATATATATATATTAAACAGCTTTCGTAGTTAAATTGGTTTTCATGCATATGGTTTGGGTGCATCATATGGGTTGGTTCGCTCGGATCGGATAGTGTGCCGGTCACGTGAATTTAGGTCGTGACAAACTTGGTATCAGAGCACTAGGTTCTAAGGCGAGTCCTAGGAAGTCTATAGAGTCGTGTCAAGTAGAGTCCCTTTTATCAGTGTGTTACCGACCACACTTATATCGGGGAGGCTACAAGGACATTTACGGAGTTTTACTTTTTTCTTACTCTAGATCGTGCGTTGTGCCTTAAGTGAGAGACATGGTTCTCGAGCGTATTGGCTTCCAGATGTGGTAGATACAGAAGTGACGAGCACAAAGCTCAAGGTTCAAGATATTGCACTTGCTGCTTGAAAAATAGTTGGGAAGTATCAAACTATCCATGAATGAAATGATGGGTTAAGGTCGAGTGTATATTTAAAAAAATGATACAATCGAGATGTACAACTGTGGTGAGCGAGAATCATAAGTCGAATTCTAGGAACTCATGGAAAATAAAATGAGGTGGTGATGTCAGTTAGTGTTGTCAGAATAGAGCCAGAACGTACAAAGAGTTGTACTAGAGGATGTGAAAAGGGAACCTTAAAAGGGAAAGGCTCTAGTCTAGAATTCAGATTCTTAGTCAAGATGTTAAGATGATTGGTCACTTTGATGGTCACCAGTAATGAGTGCTACAAAGGTACAAAGAAGAAAATACAATGGTTCTAAGATAAATGGGAATGTTGTATCTCAAATTATCGTGATGAGATGTCGAGGAATGATAATAATCGAATTAGTAAGAGAATTCGAATCAACCCAGTTAGTAGCAATCACATTGTGACTTATAAGAATGAAGACTTATTTGAGATACTGTCAAAAATGACCAAAAGCATCTTAAAAAAAAGTATAAGGAAACCTTCAAGACTTTCAAAAGGTGAACAAGTCAAGATAAAATAGATGATCCGCACTCTCACCATGGATTGGGAGACTCTCGATATGACGAGGTCATCATTATGGTAATGTCACATGTAAGGAAAGGAATTATAAGAAATGAAGTATCACGTATGGGCACAAGTTCAGGGTATTCGAATCATGCCATAAGTATAAGAAGGGTAGGTGAACCTTGAATGCCTCCCAGTTAATGAATGAGATACTAGCAGATGTTAACATTCAATGATGCATACCAAGGTATGCGTGGATGATACAGGTGGACTTAAATAGGTAAGTGAAAACAAATGATGATGATAATAATAATAATAATAATAATAATAATAATAATAATAATAATAATAATAATAATAATAATAATAATAAATAAAATCACAGACTTACTTTACTCCTTCAATCCATCCGGGAAATGGTTCTTTACAAGTGCTAGTGATAATTGTTGGACATATTATAACAAGTTGTAAACTTTCCTTCAAATGTCCTAAAAGCATCTCTCCCATTGCTTTTGTGAAGGAATATGTGTTTGGCCACCCATGCAAAGTTGCCCTAAATGATCAATATAAGCCATGTTAATTTGGGTAATTAAAATAATTGCTATGAAAGGCTAAGACTGGGGCTTTTAGTCGTCTGTACGAGATACTAGGGGCCAAAGGCAGGGAGGAAAAGTTATTTCGGCTGGCCAAGGCGAGAGAGATGAAGGCGAGAGATCTGGACCAAGTGAGGTGCATCAAAGACGAGGACGGTAGAGTATTGATGGGAGAGGCCCAGATTAAGCGGAGATGGCAGACTTACTTTCATAAACTTCTGAATGAAGAAGGGGATCAGGATATTGTGCTAGGTGAGTTGGGGCATTCCGAGAGTCATCGCTATTTCGAGTATTGTAGGCGCATCAAGGTTGAGGAGGCCATGAGGGCTATGCATAAGATGAGCAGGGGCAGAGCTATCGGGCCTGACGAGATTCCAGTAGAATTTTGGAGGTGTGTGGGTAGAGCAGGTTTGGAGTGGCTGAATGGGTTGTTTAATGTTATTTTCAGGACGAAGAGGATACCGGATGAGTGGAGGTGGAGTACGGTGGTCCCGTTGTACAAGAACAGAGGTGACATCCAGAGTTGCAACAACTATAAGGGTATCAAATTATTGATACCATGAATGTTTGGGAGAGGATAGTAGAGGTGAGGGTGAGGAGGACAATGTCTGTATCAGACAACTAGTTCGGGTTTATGCCGGATCATTCTACTACGGAAGTTATCCACCTTATTAGGAGGTTGGTGGAACAGTATAGGGATAGGAAGAAGGATCTGCACATGGTGTTTATTGATCTGGAGAAAGCGTACGACAAGGTTTCGAGAGAGGTTCTTTGGAGATGCCTAGAGGCTAAAGGTGTGTCGGTTGCTTACATTAAGGCAATTAAGGACATGTATGATGGAGTTAAGACTCGGGTTAGGATAGCGGGAGGCGACTCTGAGCATTTTTCGGTTGTTATAGGGTTTTATCAAGGATCTAAGCTCAGCCTATTCTTATTTGCCCTGGAGATGGACGTACTGACACACCATATTCAAGGAGTGGTGACATGGTGTATGTTATTCGCTAATGAAATTGTTCTAGTTGACGAGACGCAAAGTGTTGTTAACGAGAGGATGGAGGTTTGAAGACAGACCCTTGAGTCTAAGGGTTTCAAGTTGAGCAGGACAAAGACGGAATATCTTGAGTGCAAGTTTAGTGCTGAGCCGAGGGAAGCGTACATGGACGTGAGGCTTGGATCACGGGTCATTTCTAAGAGAGGCAGTTTCAAGTACCTTAGGTCAGTTATCCAGAAGGATGGGGAGATCGATGAGGATGTCGCACACCGTATAGAGGTGGGGTGGATGAAACGTAGGTTAGCATCTGGAATCCTATGTGACACTAAAGTGCCACCGCTACTCAAAGGTAAATTTTATAGAGCGGTGGTTAGACCGGCCATATTGTATGGGACTGAGTGTTGGCCAGTTAAGAACACACATGTCCAGAAGATGAAAGTAGCAGAAATGAGGATGTGAGGTGGATGTGCGGGCACACTAGGATAAATAATATTAGGAATGAAGTTATTCGTGAGAAGGTGGGCGTGGCTCCCACTGATGACAAGATGCGGGAAACGAGGCTCAGAATGTTTGGGCACGTATAGAGGAGAAGCTTGGATGCCCCGGTAAGGGGGTGCGAGCGGTTGGCATTGGCGGGTACGAGGAGAGGTAGAGGGCGGCATAAGAAGTATTGGGGAGAGGTGATCAGGCGGAACATGGCGAGGCTTCAGATCTCCGAGGACATGGCACTCGATAGGAAGCTGTGGAGGTCGAGCATTAAGGTTGTAGGTTAGGAGGTAGTTGAGCATATTTAGTCTACCAGTGTGAGGCTGGGCTGATAGGATTTAGTATTAGACTGCTAGTGGTCAATGTTGTATTTACACTACTCTTTCATTTTAATAGTGTCAGGCCTATTTACTGGTTATTATTTTCGCTTTCCATTTATTTACTGGTTCTTGTTATGTTGTTATTATTTCTATGGTTTTTTATTGATGGTACTGATGAATATCTCTTTTCGTCGTCTTGAGCCGACGGTCTATTGGAAACAACCTCTCTACCCCCTCGGGTAGAGGTAAGATCCGCGTACATACTACCCTCTCCAGACCCCACTTGTGAAATCTTACTGAAGGGTTGTTGTTGTTGTTGTAAAATAATTGCTATGAAGTTGTTGCATCAATAAAGATCTGAGTTTAACGTTTATATACTGATACTGTTATTTTTTCTACATTTTCAGTATATATAAGTGAAATCTTAAAAAGGCTAAAATATTATTTAAGAAATGCTCGCTATATTGTGTTAAGACTTTTGCAAACCGTTGAATGCCTAGATATCTCATGGCCATTGTCACTTCCGTTGATGTCAAATTTTGAGCTTCAAGTTCTTTAAGTTTGTCCTCGATCACCTTCCTCTCCACATCAATGTCTAAGTACAAATCTTTGTTGAGTGCCTCACCTAATCTGAATGATTTCTCTGGTATAACTCCTTCCCCTTCCCCACAAATATAAGCTGCAACAGGAAGAATGAAAAAGATTAAACTAAGGCCCCGTTTGTCCATTTAAAAAAAAATATTTTTTTCAAAAAAAAATCAAAAGTATATTTGTCCATAAAATTTTACAAGTTTTTGGAAATTTTTCGTAAATGAGTTTTTCAAAAGATAAAAAGTCGTTTTGACCATTTTTTCAAAATTTTCAGAAAAACTTTTTCCCCACTCATAAAACAGCAACATTTTTTCAAGTGAAATGGATATCCAAACATAATTTTAAATTTCAAATACCATTTTTCAACTTAATGCCAAATACTTACTTTTTTTTTCAAAAATTACAATTTTTATGTCCAAACGCCTACTAATATTACAAGTTTCAAGAAGCTTAGAAAATAAAGATATAAATAAACAAAGTCATAGATAAAAATTGTCATACTTGGTGTAATATTTCTCATAATTATGCTGAAGTAATTAATTAGATTATTGACATAAGTATCATAATGAATCTTATGATTTAAAACTGACCAGTGGATACATGAACAAGAATTTTCAACTTTGCACATCTTTTAGCAAATTTGAGGACATTGACTGCACCTAGACATTGGTTTTCATGGCAATATCATACCTACAAGAGGGAAAAAAAAGGAAAAATAGTGAAAAATATTGTGGGGGGGGGGGGGGGGGGGGGAATAAATCAAATATCATGCATTAAAATACTTCCATTTTACAACAACTACCTCTCTTCAAATCTGGTACTTGCAGCTGAGTGTATGATAGTATCAATTTCTTTGAACATCTCATCTTTCATTTCCATGTTTTCAATTCCAAAATCTTCAAACGAAACGTCACCAGCTACTGGAAATACCTTCTCCTTTATGAGATTGTTTAGCTCTACACCTAACTTTTCTCTTAGAACATTAAACAATTCAGCCTGCAAAATCTGTGAATAAAACTTATAATATATTATTGTCTTTCTCTCCACATTAACGCATTCAAGAAAATAACTTCTCTCATATAGGTAATTTATATTTTTTGTTTAAAATCAACTGAGCATTTTATTCATCTCCAAAAAAAAAAGCCAGCAATTACATTTGAGCAAAGGGGTTGTTATACTACCAACACCTATAGTGACCATGAGAGATAGCTCCCACTACTCTAGTTACAAAATTAGATGGATTAAATGCATGTGGTATGTAGATACATAAGTTAATAGTTGCCATGAAATATGTAGTATCCAATCTATATATATATATAAAAAAAAAAAAAAAGAAGCAGCTT